TCACCAACGATAAGGTCTTACAGCTCCTAGGAGTGGAACCTAACCTAACCTAACCTAACCTAACCTAACCTAACCTAACCTAACCTAACCTAACCTAACCTAACCTAACCTAACCTAACCTAACCTAACCTAACCTAACCTAACCTAACCTAACCTAACCTAACCTAACCTAACCTAACCTAACCTAACCTAACCTAATCTAACCTAACCTAACCTAACCTAACCTAACCTAACCTAACCTAACCTAACCTAACCTAACCTAACCTAACCTAACCTAACCTAACCTAACCTAACCTAACCTAACCTAACCTAACCTAACCTAACCTAACCTAACCTAACCTAACCTAACCTAACCTAACCTAACCTAACCTAACCTAACCTAACCTAACCTAACCTAACCTAACCTAACCTAACCTAACCTAACCTAACCTAACCTAACCTAACCTAACCTAACCTAACCTAACCTAACCTAACCTAACCTAACCTAACCTAACCTAACCTAACCTAACCTAACCTAACCTAACCTAACCTAACCTAACCTAACCTAACCTAACCTAACCTAACCTAACCTAACCTAACCTAACCTAACCTAACCCTTTTTTTTTGTTTGAGGGGAAACCGCTTGGCACCAGTCGCTAGGGTCTATGCAGCTGGTAGTGTCGGGCGCTACTCCGACTAAAACCCCTCTTTTCTTTGTCATCCTGACATCACGGAACCATCCCGATGGGATATAACATCGTGTGTGTCAGTGGTTTATTGATTCTCTTCCCTATCCTCTTGCTCCTTTTGTGTCATAACTTCTTTTATAAATTTATGTATACTGTCCCAATTTTCCTTTTTTTCTATCATTTTTTTTCTACCATGTTTTCCCCATTTATGTCTACCCCTATTTGCTCTTCCATATTTGCCCTCTCATTCGCCCATCTATTACAGATATACAGCGTGTGAGCTGGGCTATCGTTTTCATGACAGTATATACAATTTTTTCCAATCGTTTTTTTTAATTTTTTGGGTGAAACTTCCTAACGTGCCATGTCCTGTGAGGGCCTGTGTCAGGAAGTAGTCCGTTTTACGGAACCTGGTTTCTGTCCATGCCTTTACATCTTTTATTAGTATTCTCGTCCACCCGCCAGGTTGATTTTGTGTTTCCCATTCATTTTGCCAGTCTCTGTAGGTAATGTCTCTTTCCTCCTTTTTGGCCATATCCGTGTGTCCGTCTACTCTTTCGTGGAGCCTGCTTCTTTCATTCGCCAGCAGGTGTATAGGAGGGATCCCTGTCACCACTTGTATTGCCGCTGCCGAAACCGTTCTATATGCGCTTGCCACCCTGAGCAGTGCTTTTCTTTGTGTGCTTACTAGTATATTCTTATATTTATTGTGGTTTATCCAGTGTTTCCACCTGGGAGCCGCATATAGTATGATTGACTGAATTACTCCATGTAATACCGTGCGCTTCTGGCTGCTAGGGCCTCCTATATTTGGCATTAGTCTGATAAGGGCTGCTGTTCTATTCTGTGCCTTTTCCGTTATATATTTTACATGTTTTGAAAATGTCATGTTTTGACCTATCATTACCCCTAAGTATTTTATTGATCTACTAGGTTGTATTCTGTTTCCTAATACCTCTATATTCAGACCATGCTTCTTTCTTGGGCCTTTCAGAATGACTAGTTCGGTTTTTTCGGGCGCCAGGCTTAGCTCGTGTTGTCTCATCCATCTTTCTATCGCTTCTACTGCTATACTGGTTAACTCATTTAGTTCGTCCACGTCATTGGCATCGACTATCATTGCTATATCGTCTGCGTATCTTGTGTTCATGACTTCTTTGCCTACTATTATTTTTCTGTTACTTAGGTAACTATCTATAATATTTATTAGATACTGCGAGATATTCCGTGATTCCAGCTTGTCTATAATAATGACCCATGACGCGTTATTAAATGAATTTGAACATCCAGAGCCAACATTACAACCCATTTCGATTTCACTCGTTTTGCATGTGTGATTACCTCTTCAACAGCCTGTATGGTAGAGAAACCTTTTCGGAAACCAAATTGGTTCCCTGACAGACCCCTCAGTTCTTCTATTTTTCTTTCCAATCTTGTCTTTATCATTTTTTCATAGATTTTCCCCATTGTATTTAGTAGGCAAATCGGTCGGTATGATGATGCAGTGATTTACGGTTTACCTTTCCAGATTAGGATGACTGATGCCTCTTTCCATATTCTCGGGAATGTTTGGTCCATTAGGAGTGGTTAAATTCTACAATTTCACCAGTAAAAACATCAACAAATTAATATTTTACATCTACTAAATAAATAAACAATTCTCAAATAGTTCGACTGCTTTTTACCCTAATATAATGTGAAGTCATAAAACTATAAATAGCATTTTTCTCAGAATACCGAACGTCGAACACCTGTGTTTTTAAGTGCACAGCGGTGCATTGGAACAAAATGAGTGTCCGGCGCATAGTGAACGAAGCACAAATGACGTATTTCATTATGTCATGATGTTTTCATTGGTTGAAACCGAATAGGTGCGTGAACTATGCCCCGGACACTCAGTTCGTCCCAACAGTATATATTAAGGTGCGCTCGACGCGAGGAGTTCAGTTGTATGTTTGCCATTATTCAGTAGTTGTCTTATTGCCATCGAGTTCAGTTGTATGTTTGCCATCATTCAGTAGTTGTCTTATTGCCACAAACGAGTTCAGGTGCTTTCGGCCGACGGCACGTTACTTTCTACATTTTTACAAGCATTTAATGCAGTTTATTTTCTGGTGCAAGTTATATTTTCTACAATTATTATGGCATAAGAAATTCTACAAACAAATGTTTTCAAGTTGGTAACTAAAAAATCAACTGTATTAGTTAATCAAATTGTGATGAACTAAAATTGTAAATATTTAAAACTGTTTAGTGAAGATAAGTGAATCAACCACTATGTATTTACTTCAGTGAAAATAGTAAATTAAAAACACTTCTTTTTCTACTACCTATGACTCGTTAGTTATTTCTACAAAAGAACCCAATTCTTCTAACACCAGCGACATATGCTACAGAACATTTTTATCAAAGAAATATTCGGAAGTAACACCGGTATTTTTTCATGGTCCTTCGAGCCGGCTCGAAGAATTGGGTTCTTTTGTAGAAATAACTAACGAGTCACAGGTAGTAGAAAAAGATGTGTTTTTAATTTACTATTTTCACTGAAGTAAATACATAGTGGTTGATTCACTTATCTTCACTAAACAGTTTTAAATATTTACAATTTTAGTTCATCACAATTTGATTAACTAATACAGTTGATTTTTTAGTTACCAACTTGAAAACATTTGTTTGTAGAACTTCTTATGCCATAATAATTTTAGAAGATATAACTTGCACCAGAAAATAAACTGCATTAAACGCTTGTAAAAATGTAGAAAGTAACGTGCCGTCGGCAGAAAGCACCTGAACTCGTTTGTGGCAATAAGACAACTACTGAATGATGGCAAACATACAACTGTACTGCTCGCGTCGAGCTTACCCTAATATATACTGTTGGAACGAAATGAGTGGCCGGGGCATAGTTGACGCACCTATTCGGTTTCAACCAATGAAAACATCATGACATAATGAAATACGTCATTTGTGCTTCGTTCACTATGCGCCGGACACTCATTTTGTTCCAATGCACCGCTGTGCACTTGAAAACACAGGTGTTCGACGTTCGGTATTCTGAGAAAAATGCTATTTATAGTTTTATGACTTCACATTATATTAGGGTAAAAAGCAGTCGAACTATTTGAGAATTGTTTATTTATTTAGTAGATGTAAAATATTAATTTGTTGATATTTTTACTGGTGAAATTGTAGAATTTAACCAAGGAGCATATTGTACATCTCCAGTAGCATTGCCTGCATTTGTTTATTATCTTTAACGCCTCGGGAGGAATGCCATCTGGCCCTGCCGCGCGTTTTGGTTTTGATCCTTCTATGGCTTCCTGCAGTTCTTCCTTTGTGAATTGATTTATTCGTTCGCCGCTGTGTCGGTGCCTACTGTTCCTGAGATCTGCTGCCATTGGGAAGAGTTCTCTACACCACTTCACTTTTTGGGCGTTTGTTGGGTTGTACGGTGGAGATAGCCTACCTGTATAACGGGTAGCTATTTTGTAACCATGTCCCCATATGTCATTATCTAGTTCCTGGCATAGTCTATTCCATGCTGCTTTTTTTTTTTTTTTTTTTTGTTTATTAGTTTTCTCATTTCTTTCCTGGAGTATGATGCTTCTTCTTTTGCTGCTACTACTAAGGGATCGTCAGCTGGCAGCCTGCTATGTATTCTTGTGAGGATGCGACGAGTCCTAATGGCTTCATTACGCTTTTCTCTAATTTCGGAACTCCACCAGTATACTTGATTTTGTCTTTCTGTCTTTACAGTTTTTGTACTTTTCTTAACTACCCTCTCTATGTCATCCATAATCTCTCGTGCCGAGTTGTACTGAAATTTGGTTTTTTCTGCTACATTTCTTACCAGTTATTATGTGTCTAGTTGCGTTTTTTTATTATTTTTTGTTTCTTTTCCTTGTTTCCGATTTCGTATAATATATACTTATGATAAGTGTTTATCTCCACGTCTAATATTTTCCAGGCTTTGATTTTTTTTGCTATTTTTGGGGTGGCACACGTTACGTCAATGTGGATTTTACTATTTCCCCTTACAAAGGTCGGTTCACCATTATTACTACATGTCAGATTTAGTTCAGCTGACCAGTCTTCAATATAGCTACCTCTGGGATCCGCGAACGGCGATCCCCAAAGTGGGGATTTCGAGTTTAGGTCTCCCGCTATGATCGATTCCTTGTTTGAAGCTTTAATGTCGTTCATGATGTTGTCTATATACCCTTGAAAATGGTCGAGCGTTTCATTTGGGGAAAAGTAGCAGCAGTACATGTTGTAGAGTGCGAATTCTAGTTTTACATATCCTTCATATTCTCTGTGCTTAAGTATCTCCACGTTTTTGTTGCTTATGTATACAGCCACATCTTTTTTTATGTCCGTTATATACCCCTTCTTGGTAACGATATTGATATTTTGTTCTACCTATGTTAACCTGTAAACACTTCATCCAAATCACGGAGGCTCTCTCGTGCCGTCGTTCTTCGGGTTGGCTTCCGTTTTGCCATTTTTTTGTCCTCTATTTCCCTTGATTTTTTGTTTATTTCATCTCTGAATATTGGGCATGCCATTTGATCAGCTCTATGGCCCTCTTGTTTGCAACTAGTGCAGAAACGGTCATTTTTGCATTCTTTTGCAGTGTGTCCTACTTGGTTGCAATTCATGCAGTTTTTTGATCTATCAGGCCCCTTACACTAGGCCGTGTAGTGTCCAAAGCCCAGGCATTTGTAACATCTGGTGAGTGAGATTCTGCTTCTTACTCTACATGACATCCATCCTATTTTTATGCTTCCCATTCTTATAATTTCTCTCGCAGCATCCCTATCCAAGATGACCATTGCATTTTGGTTGCCATTTCTATTTGTTCTAATTTTTACTTCGATATGGATTTCACCATCCAAGGGTTTCCTGACGTTATTTATTATCTCATATTTTACATTGTCTTCCTCTATATCGGCTTCTATATCCGATATATATATATATATATATATTATACTCGTATCCCTTCGAATTTCTACTTTGGATTCATTGTTTTCTTTTTCTATAGCTCCTTTAAGCGCCTGTGCTTTTTGTTTACCTCCTGGTATCTCCATGAGCACATCTCCCCGTGCAGTCTTACTGATATTTTTAATCTGTACCCCGATCCTATCCAGGTTAACTGTTTCTTTGATGGATTTAAGAGCATTGGCATAATCCTTTCCATCCGTCCTCATGATGATTTTTTGGGTGTTTTCTTGTTCTTTAGTTACTTTGTCAGTACAGTTGTTCCATATTGTTACCTGGGTTTCCGTTTTATGAAATAACGCTTCCGTGCATTTCCTGATGTATCGGTCTTTTGGATATTCTGTGGTAATCATGTTTATTTTTTTACCTTCGTTCCCGGTAATTTTTGATTTAATCTCCTCTATTTGATTATAGATCCTGTCAGCTTCATGTACCGTAGTTAGGGGGACCACCCATAGGTGATTTGTTTTTTCCTCTTTTCCTCCATCCTCATTCACCATTTCGGTTGTCTCCTTAATGTGTCTCATTTCTGCTATTCCTTTTCGTACCAGCGGCCTAATATCAGTGAAATGTGCGCTGACTTCTCTCGCTAGGTTTTCTTCTATGGCTTTCTCTGGGTCTACGAACAGTACCATATCACCAGGGTCCATTTTCTTCCTGTCTTGTAATAACCTTTTATTTGTGTATAGCCTGTCCGTCCATGTAAGATCTATAATTTTCTTTAGACCTTCTCATCCTCCTTTCTTTTCTAGCTCTTCCTCGCATAGCTTTTCTTGTTCTATCTTTATAGCACGTGTTTCTTGCTCGATCATTCTTGAGTCTACTTGCGTTTCGATGGTTCTCGTCTCTTTAGTAATTGTTGGTGCTTTTGTTTCTTCCTTTCGGCTCGCCTTAGTTTTTGTTCGTTACTATATTCTTCAAAGTCATCCATTTTTGTTTTCATCCTTTCGATTTTTCTTTTTAGTTCTTTTACTCCTTTCTTAATTTCTACTTTCGTGTTAGTGTTGCCTATGGCCGTATCATGTAAGCTTATTACTATTTGTTGTATGTCGCACATTTGTTTACATAAAATCGTGTATTTCGTTTCCCTCATTTCTTCAGGGCTCCTTTGTCGCTTCTTTCCTGCAATCAGTTCTGTTTCATTCGGGATCAGAGCCTGTTTCTTCATTTCATTATTTTCTAGGATTCTATTAAATGCCTGCAGTGTGGCATTGAGCGGTGGCGAGCGGTTTAGAGAATTTATCCTACTGTGCTCTGCCACAAGCTGATCCTCGAACCTTTTTCTCTGTTCCTCTTCCACGTTGGTTTTAAATTCGTTACTTAAGTCTGATTCCAGTATATTCTTTGTTCCAGTGTTGATTTCAGCAGCCACGGCCTGGTTCCCCTCCGTTGCTACCACAGATTTAGTATTTATATTCTCCATGAAGTTCCCATGAGTAGCTAGGGAAAAAATAGCGGTCAGCTCCTACAGAGCCCCGCATGTAGCAGTAAGGCCTTCCTTTCGGCTACCCCGCACGCCCTCGCCATGGCGCCGGGGGGCTGCTCGCGACCCTCTTCGGGGGGCCATTCATCCGTCACCGCAGTTCCCAGGTTTGGATTCCGTTTTTGGTTTTTCTGTCGGGGTTTCCCTTCCCTTAGTCAACATGGTCCCCGTTTTATGGCGCCGGGAACTCGTCATTCGCCCTCCCTGTTCAGGATCGGACTTACCGGTTTGCTTTTGTTAGCTGGGCTGATGTTCTTGAACTGGTATTTATTGGTGTCACCTAGTCGACATCAGTGACCCCACCAGTGCCCCACCGACCATTTCTCAGCTGTTTGTCGGCTTCACTACCCATTCCCGTCCCGTTAAGGCTCGAGAACAGGGAGCTACTAAACCACTCCACCAACGATAAGGTCTTACAGCTCCTAGGAGTGGAACCTAACCTAACCAAACCTAACCTAATCTAACCATAAAAACTTTTTTAAACTAACTTTGACAAGAATTAAAGAAGACAAGACAAGAGTAAAGAATTAAATTGGCATCCAATAACAAATAATATTCATATTTTATTAATTAACAGATCAAACGAAGCAATTTTTATGTACATTATATCAGAAGCACTATTTTCCTACAAATTTGATTTATAGAGGTAAAAAAAATAGACACGTACTTTAGTGTATAAATATTTAATAAAAATAAGCGAGCGCTTTCGGCTGTACAACGCATGTTCGAAATTCACTAAATTTGTTTACGAAGGATATTTTTTTCAAGTAATTAGACATTCGAACAAATTGTTATCGATTAAAAAAGAATTCAAAGAAAATTACTTTCGAACGAAATGTGTTCGAAGAAATTTATTTTTGAATAATATGTATTTGAACTAAATAACTTTCGAACAAAATGTTTTCAAACTAAATGACTTTCGAACAAAATGTTTAAGAACAAAATTCCTTCGAACAAAAAGATTCGAGCAAAAAATTTTCGAACAAAATTCCGCGACCCTACTGTAACATATCCTAGTACCAAGCCAAAGACAAAAATATCACTGAGCTTAGGTACGCATGCCACAGTATTTCAGGCAGAAATAGCAGGAATACATCACTGCGCAAAAAAGGTATTAAATGAAAAAACCAATGCCATATACTCAAACAGTCAAGCGACGTTAGAAGCACTCAGTTCTATGCAGGCACACTCAAAGCTTGTGTGGGACTGTTTGGAGCTGGGTAGTAAGCACTAACTAACATTAACGTGGGTACCAGGTTATAATAGAGCAAGAGCCCGTGAGAGCCAGACCTTCGGAATTTTATAAAAGCTGAGAGTTCTTCTGTGTATGTCCCCAATACAGGTAAGAATGATCCCCGCCCATGAAACCTGAGTAGTGGTGGCTTTGGCAGGTAACAGGTAGCAAAAGTGCATAAAATTCCACCTCAAATTTATTAATTTATAAAACTCAATTTTTTTTTATATTTTATTCGTAATAATATTAAAACTCGCGTTGCTCATTGCCAGACACTTGATATGGTTACAACCCTCTGCCAGACACCCCTGAACTATTATAATTTGTAACTATACTTACGTTATATTATAAAAGCTAAATTTTATATATATTATTTGGACAACTATTAAATAATGTTTCCTTAATAGCCAGACAATTTCGAGGGTTATATCGTCCTGCCAGACGTATTAAATGTGTACAATAGTTATAAGTGAGAGGAGCATATGCAGCAACGGGTGTGAGTGAAATGGAGCGTGCAGTCTATTGCGATCTTTTACTGCGCATCTACTGTTGTTTATTCCGATCAATTATATCAAAAATCTAGTAACTCAATTCATATTATTTTTAAATTTTATAAAGTTTATTATATTCAATTTAACTGAAATTTCAAAGTCATCAAAATTTTATTGTTTATTATACGAAAGAATAATTTTTTTGTGAGTTAGAAATTTACAGAAAAATAAATTCATTTAAATTAAATATTTGAAAATCATCTTCATTGTCATCACGATGACAACAACGGTTGTTGACATTTTCATTTTCGTCGCCATTGGTACTCCACTCCCTAGATTCATCGTTATCAACATCGTCTTCTTCGCCTGCTTCTGCAATAGTAAAACCAAGTTAATTTAATTATAATTGGTCACAAATTAATGTAAAATAATGTACCATAATTATCCAATTTATTTAGAAAATCTTTATACTGTTCATAATTTTCTATATAAATAAATAAATAAATAAATAAATAAATAAATATATTGGGTTTAATACTAGCTTTAAATTGATGGACATCTGCTGCATGAAGCGGAACCATTCTCGATCTCACTTTTTTCTTTTTCCTCTCACAAAATATACAAACAACCTCGTTATCATTATTACCAGCAATATTATCAGTCGAAGTATTTACGTCCTGAGTTACAATATTATTATCACTAACATCCGGTTCAAAAACACCAGAAAAATCTTGAAGAATTGAAGATTGTAGACCTATTGAGTCAGAAATTGGAGTCGGCTGAGATGTCGTGGAAGATTCTGTAGGTACAGGCTGTAAATAAGATGCATCTTGAGATGTTGACGGTTGTGCTTCTATTGACTGGGAAAATAAAATTTATTGAGATATTGTTGAAAATTCTATTGATGAAGACTCTAAATCAGGTAGTTCTGAACTCAAATCTGGAGTCGACGATAAAGTTGGAAATGATTTGTCTGTAACAACACAACTTGCTTGTTTTTTTTTAGTACTTATAGGTTCAGAGGTGAAGTATTTTTTCATTACACCTGTAAATGCTTTATAACTAGATCTGTGATAACCACTCTCCGTATATTCACTAGGTAAAATAACGTCTTTGTATTTAAGTTTGTGTATTTTTCTTAATTTTAGAATATTCTGACACTTTTTTAAAGTCTCCTCGGTAAATATTATTAGCTCTTCGCCACTTTTTTTACAGACAAAGCCAACTACTTTTACTTCTTCTTCACTCATGATAACTTTTTGTTACACTAGATCACATTTATTTTATAAATTACACAGAAAAATAATACAACGTTTAATATACGTTTGATGTACGTTTACTATGAGCGTAACCGCGCACTACATAATACACAATGAGCAGCTGATGCGCAGTAAAAGATCGCAATAGACTGCACACTTTATTTCACTCACACCCGTTGCTGCATATGCTCCTCTCACTCATAACTATTGTACACATTTAATACGTCTGGCAGGACGATATAACCCTCGAAATTGTCTGGCTATTAAGGAAACATTATTTAATAGTTGTCCAAATAATATATATAAAATTTAGCTTTTATAATATAACGTAAGTATAGTTACAAATTATAATAGTTTAGGGGTGTCTGGCAGAGGGTTGTAACCATATCAAGTGTCTGGCAATGAGCAACGCGAGTTTTAATATTATTACGAATAAAATATAAAAAAATTGAGTTTTATAAATTAATAAATTTGAGGTGGAATTTTATGCTACCTATTACCAGCCAAAGCCACCACTACTCACGTTTCATGGGCGGGGCTCATTCTTACCTGTATTGGGGACATACACAGAAGAACTCTCAGCTTTTATAAAATTCCGAAGGTCTGGCTCTCACGGGCTCTTGGACTATAAAGGACATAAGAGCAACGAATATTAGAAATGGTGGGAAAATGCACCAGGACAAAGACAGACCGAAAAGTTGTTTAAAAGAATCATCGCCTAAACTCACCGAATAAAGTACTCAATGCTATGTACGAGTAGGTAATAATTTTGACACATATTTTAATTCATTAAAACGTATATATTTATACTTTTTTATTATACACGTTTGCCTTGAACATCGTCTTGTATTATATACCTTTTGAACTTTTGTCTGCTTGAGCAAGTTTTAAACGATTGTACATACATTTTATGTACTTAAAACGTATTCTTAAATATGTTTGAAATTAAAGTAAATAAAGCTATTACATTATACTCTATAACTATATATTTTAAAGTATTTAAGATGACATCGAATATCGAAAAAAACTTCTTGGCAAAGCTGGCTAAAATAATGAACATAATCACTGCCCACTATGTTAAAAATTTTGAAACCCAGCACAACTCATTGGTTAGCTCTGTCTAAAGTGAAGACAGTATTATTGAAATGTGAAATGTTTTAACAGAATTGTTCAGACTTTGAACACGAATCTAAAGTCGCTATAATTATTGGAAATTCTGTTTCAATCCAAATAGAGTGCAGGAGAAGATAAATACAAAATAAGATTCCCTTTAAAAAATTAAAAACGGACGTTGAATTTCAAAACTGATATATTTAATTAAATCAATAAAACAAGAACATAAAATATAAAAGCATCAATCTAGATCATAATGAAACTAAGTAGTCTGCATGTCTTCAGTTTTCAATACCCTCCCTGTTTCATTAAGATCTATGATTTGAATATTACTTCTTAAAAACAAAAACTTTTCTTTTGGCAAAGGTTTTATCAATATATCGGCAAGCTGTAGGTTTGACTGGATATAATTCAACTCCACAGCTCTACAACTTGTCGAATTTAAAAATTACCCATATCAAGATCTTCTTTCTCGCCCTCATCGGCAGAGTACTCTTCGACGTCAATATTGATATGCAATAAGAAGACGAAGCAACGACTTCTTGTAGCGAAGCCGCCACCAGAAAATTTTAACCCATACCTGGCTACGCCGACCGGCATAGACTCCAACGGCCTGAACACAGCTCAAATTGAAAAAAAAAGTATTTTTTACAAATATTAGATAAGTAACGACATGCCGTAATTAACGCACAATCATCATGAAATGAAATAAAAAGACGGATATTTGTGAT